GGGGAGGGAAGCCAACACAAAAACACAATCCACCTTGGGAAGAAAAACTCGTTTTGTTTTCATTCGGGTGACTGGGGGAAGGCAAGAGAGAGCCCAGAGAAGTTTAAAAAAAAAGAAAAATAAAGAGCTACAGATTCCCCTGATGGGTAAAAGTGGCCTCGAAACTGTCTTGCCAAGGGTGTGGAAAACACACCTGACTTTTTAAGAGGGGAGCTGTATGGAGAGGGACAGAGATACAAAAAAAAAAGGGGGGGGAATAAAAGAGGGGAGGAAAGGGTGCTGGGAAAGAGAAGAGAAGGAGAGGGGGGTGAGCCGCCAGGAGGAAACAGGGTAGAAGAGGAAACTGAGGATGGTGGAAAGGAAATAGAAAAAAAAGAGAGAGAGAGAAAGCAAGGGGTGAAAAATACCAGGAAGAAGAGAAAGTTGGAGGTGGGAAGAGAAGGGTGGGGGCTGTTAAAAACTGAAGAGAGGGGAAGTGGGGAAAGGAGCTGGGGGAGACTGAGGAGGGCCGAGGGGCGGAGGGGAGGGGAGGAGAGGAGAGGAGAGGGGATGCCAAGGCACCGGTACCAACTCACCGCGAGCGGCGGCTCCAGCACTGCGGCTCCTCAGCTTTGCCCGCGCGGCTCCCGACTGCCAGCTCCCCTCAGCTGTGCTCGGGGCACCTCGCCCCGCCCCTTCCCGGCCCTGCCGCGGCCCGAGCTGCCTGGTAACGGGGCCGGGCGCCGCGGCATTGTGGGAGCGTCTTAAAGCACCAGCGGCGGGCGCGCGGGGGGGGGCAGAGTGCATGTGAGCACGTGTGTGTGTGTGAGAGAGAGCACGCGCTTGTGCAGGGCGGACACGCACAGAGGCGCCTGGGGCATGGCGGCAGCGCGGCAACTGCTACAAGGGGCGCCTCAGCAGGACGCACCCGTGTGCGCGCGCGTGTGTGCGTGTACGTGTACTGCTGTGTGTGGGCGTGCGTGTGTGAATACACCGGAGTGTGTTTACGTGTGGAGAGACAGATGATAGATACATATAGGGGATATATACATGTTTTTGAAGAGGGGTGTAGATATGCACAAACACACAGTGGGGTGGAGAGTCCCAGCGTGGGTGTTTGTGTGTATATACACAACTCTATACACACGGACTAGACGACACGCGCGCGCGCGTGTGTGTGTGTATATATATATATATATATATATGTATAGCCACTGGGGTTCTCCACCCCAATATATAGAGAGAGGATATATACATATAGAGCAGAGGTTCTGAAACTTTTTCTTATTGTGTACCTCCTTCCAGATTTATCAGCTGCCTTCATACTCCCACCAGCATACATTTTATATTTCAACCCCTTAAATGCCAATTATTATTATAATGGAAAGTATAATATATATATACAGGGTCTTCATAAAATCCTTGTGCACTTTTAAACTTCAATAACTTAGGTTGTAGGTATGATAGAAATAATCTGTTAACGGCATTTAAAAGCAAATTTATTAAAGTTTTAGGACAACTAGAGTATACAATGGTAGACTTCATAAGAAATAATGAATTAGTTCTTATTTCAGATCCTTTGACAAACAAAAAATGGCTACTGTAGACGAGAAGGTAAACTGTCGTATGGCTAGCAGAATTGAAGTCCATATCAGCTGTGAGAAGAAAATGGTGGTTATGTTGAAGCCTACCATTGTGTATTCTAGTTGTCCTAAAACTTTAATAAATGTGCTTTTAAATGCCATTTATAGATTGTTTCTATTATACTTACAACCTAAGTTATTAAAGTTTAAAAGTGCATACAGACTTTATGAAGACCCTGTATAATATATATATGGGTGTGTGTGCATATTTGTGTGTGTATGTACCCCCCTACCCCCCGGGGTTACATCATTTTCTCTAGGTGTAACCCTGATGATGTTATCTGCATTCTGTGCGTTCACCTTTGCATATCACTGGATGTAACCTTTGCACATGAGTGTATTTATGTATATACTGTACAAGCACATACTCTGTAAATATAAGTCCCAGTTTTTAAAGAAGGAGAGGGCTAACAGTAAGCTGGGAAATATTTTTCTGTGAGAAAAAGCAACAAAATATTTTTGTTATTTATTTTTGTAGAGAAATAGTTATAAGAATAATAAAAAGTCCAAACCCAGAAAAGCATTTTTTTATTGGGTTTTTTTTGCATCCTTTTGTATTATTTTTAATACTTTAAACACTGGAATTTTTTTTCTTTAGAGGGTGTTCTGTGATTATTCCTGCTTGCATTTGAGTAATATTGCAAATTAATCCTTCTTTAGGCTCCATAACATAGTCTGTTCTCTCTGTGTGTTTGAGGCTCTAGTCCTTCAAATGACTTCATGCAAGCAGGGCATTGCACTTGCATGTATCCCCACTGAAGTCATCTGCAGAGTTTGCAGTTTAAGGAGCCTTATGGGACTACTCATGTGTTTAAATTAAACACAGGCATATATGTTTGCAAGGTCAGAGTTTTCGGTTATAATCTCTTCCTCTTATGTCTCGTACAGCAATGAAGACCATTGTCGCAGGGCACTTAGGTGCCCTGCTCCTAAAGAGGGGAAACTGCTGGGGAAAGAGCCCTAGCAGGGAACAAGGAGCCCAGCTGTGGGTTGCCAGGGCAACCAGGGGAGGTCAGCTGACTGAAAGGGGCAGGGCCTGGCTCCCTTATAAACCCTAGGAGCTGAGGCCAGAGGCAGTCCCTGTCAGCAGCCCTGGAGGAAGGAGCTTTTTGCTGTGGAAGAGAGGAGCTGCCTGCTGAAGGAGCAGCACATGACATGGCTGTGGGATGAAGAACCCTGGTAGGCAAAGCATGATTATAGCTGGATGACTTCTGTTTAAGTTATAGCCGATGGGCTTGCATTTTGTGTTGCTGTTTATCACCGGTGGTTTGGGTGAGGCTATTAGGGTTTGGAGGAGGCCTCATAGGGGACCCACAGTAATGTGGGAACCCCAGTGCCAGCAAGGGTGTGGCATTAGGGGTGCACAAACCCCAGCCCCAGAGAGAGGTAGTTGAGAAGCCCCAGAGAGGGGGCATTGCTGAGAAGCCCCAGTGTGGGCGTGGTTAGCCCCGGAGAAGGGGGCGGCATTGCAGAGAAGAGCCCTGAGAGGAGGCACGGAAAGAGAGAGAGAGATGGGGCTGTCAAGAGCCCGAGTGCCAGAAAGGGAGTGGAGACGGAGGGAGACCGAACAATGTCTATTCCAGCTGTGAGGCTTGGGGCGTGGTGAAAGGGGTGGTTGGAGCCATGCATAGCCCATAAGGCTAGGGTGCCCTGGAAGCACCCATTGTAGAGCGGGACCCACAAGGGGTCCGGGAAACCACGGGGTCTGAGTCACCACTGAGAAGTGACCAAGAGGGCGTAAGGCAGCCTCCCATACATTTAATCTCCATCAAAGACGTGGCGGGTGAGAATCTGAGGGGGCCCTTGGGCCAACTTGGTACGGGAAGGGGGCCTTGAGGAGATCACGGCCCTCCTGCAGGACCCCACCGTGACAACCTTAAATAATAACAGAAATTCAGCAAGGATAAAAGTCCTAACAAACTATATATTTCTTGACAAAAAAGATCTTGCTTTTAGTCCCTTGTCTGACTTCCCTCCTTCCTCTGCCCATGAAAGGGAGAGATGCATTCACTTGACCAAGCAACCTGCATGTGTGGACTGGTAAAGTTGTGCATGACTGGATAGGGGAAACGAACAATTTCTTATGCACCTCTGGATTCAAGGACTAATTTGCAGAAGCACTGAGCAGATGCATCTCCCATGGACTCTCAGTGACAACTGGTTGATTGACATACTTAATTTTTTTTTCTTTTAGCTGGGAAATGTCACAAAAAACTGGCGTTATAAATTGTTGCTTTGGGAGGGAGGAGGCCTCTAAGAGTCCTTAGAATGAAAATGATCTTTGTGTTGACATCTCATCTATTCCTGTCCAGTTTTTCATCAACTGTTGTGTTGGTCAGTCATTTCTCCATATTAATATGATGACTTCTGTTCCCAACATGAATTTATTAATACAAACAGTATGAAATTGAAAGGTATACATATTATGAATAGGATTATATGAAGATTTATGGTTATGTCTTTATCTGGTGTATATTAGCATAGCTCCATTATAACGTTCCATTAAGTTTTACCTCTGAACCCTGTAACTAAATGCATTTATAACCCTTATGGTTGTATCCAAATGTGAACAGAATATAACTTGCCAAAGCATCACCAACTTGTAGGGTGACCAGCTTTACTATGCGTTGCACATGGCTTTGCCAAGCCACAACAGGGTGAAATTAGCAAATCTGGTTAGTTTCACACCAGGGCACAAGGCTAGTCCCAGAGCAGTGGACTTTAAAAAAAACAACAACAAAAAAAAATTTAATGTCAATTTCATCCAACTGCCATCAGTGATTGGGGGCGGGGGAAATAACCCAAAGACCAGCAAGTAGTCAATAGAGTTTTCACTGGAGGGAAAGGACTAGGATCCAGGCAACGGAGACTGATGGAAAGGTAAAGTGAAAATGCTTTGTTTTTCTAAGCAGCCAGAAGGCTCTGGACTTGGAGAAGAAACCAAATTCCAGAGGATTGGAGAGTATCTTATTAACAAAACATTTGCTAGTGTAGCAGGCTTGCCTTTCAGAGCTTGGGTTGAGTCCCAGGCTTGAAAACTTGCTGTTTTTAATTAGTGGAGCCCATCTACCAATCAGGAGGCAGCAAAAGGAGTTAAGTCATTCCTCTTTCCTGAGAGAAGTGGGAGAGGAGCTGCCTTCCCTCCCTCTTTTTCCCCCCCCGCCCCCCCAACCTGATTGAAGACTGCAACACTCAGGTCTGGAAGACTTCAGGGGCAGAGCCCTGGAGAGTATTAAAGGAGCTGCGTGCCCAGCATGAGGGGAAATGCATTTGGGACAGAGAAGATCAGGGCCTAGAAGAGCTGAGGAGAGCTGCTCAGCAGGGTGAAGCAGTAGCCCAGGAGCACCCCTGAAGACTTCCATCAGTGGGGAATGGCGGACGGCTCCAGCAGCTAGGCTTTCGGCATGCAGCACGGCATCCAGACCCTGGGAGCTGCGTGAAGCGGCTCGGGTCTGCAACTTCTGGTGTGTGGCCAGTGTCATGGTGCACAGGCTGGTGCATGGAGTAGGACCTTTGGAGTGCTTGGGTGGCTCAGGTCCTCAACCCCCAGAACGAGGCTAGGAGCTCGGTGCAGGAGGCGCTGAATGGAGGTAGCCCAGGCCTTCGACCCATAGCAAAAGGTCTAGTCCAAGGAGCCAGATGGTGTTTGGGCTACTGAGCCACCAGATGGCACCAAGCCAGAGGCCCCAGAAGCCTTGCATAGAGAAGTCCTGTTCTAGGGGACAGCACCGCCCACCCTTCCCCCCCCCCCGAAAGCCCACTACAGGCGAGAGAGCAGCTTGGCACAGAGGATGAGGGCCACCCTCCAGGCCTGGGAGCCATGAGTTGCAGGGAAAAGATGATCCCCCACAGGGGAGGAGGAGTCCCTGCTGGTTAGTTAAGGGCTCCTGAAAGTGGAAGTCCCACTGGGAGGGCCCCCCTAAAGTTACCAGCTTCCTTGTAGGGCTTGGAAAAGCCCAAGGGCATTGGGCTTTCCCTTTTGGGATTAAGTTTATCTTTGGGGTTCTTGTGCCATAGGTAGTATGATGTCATGCCTTATATTTTGTGAACTCTCATGTTTATAAATTAGTAGACGAGTAGAGTCTTAGGGCTCTGCTGGGACCCCTGTTGCTATTATTTCACCTATTGTTTATTTTTATTTATTTGGGGTAAGGTTTTATAGCATTGACCCAGAGGGTATTGTTTATGTTATTTGTTTATATACCCATGGTTCTTTTCCTTGTGATAAGTTAATGTAAATACATTTGTATATAATTAAGTCCCCTGACTGTCCTGGCCTGGTTCTATAGGGATGGCGGGAAACTGAGCCATCTACAGTTCCCCCACAGCACACCTGCCAGCTAACAATTCCTTTCAATTGGAGAAGGGGTGTATATACCCAAGTTACCTGGGCTATACTAGCCAGAGGCTAAATGAGAACAGTTTACAAAGATGTCCAGGGACATAATTCTAATAGAAACCCAGGCACTCTGTTCCAGGCACTTGGTTCCTAACAGGAAAGTAGGCTCTCTGCCAATGGTACCTAGACCAGTGTTGTTGATTGGGGGAAAAAACAAAACACACATTTCAGACTGAAGGCCCTGCTGAATAGACTCAAGGCACCCCTTGGAAAGTGCCAGAACATAGATTTCCCTTGGTTTTTTTTGATGACAGAAAAATAATAGGGCAATTCTTCTGTTGCAAAGACCACAACAGGTCAGAATGTTTTTAACACTGTAGATTCCTATTTGAAATCTTTGGCCACATCCAGCAAGTGCAGATGTGTGGTATGCTACACACACTGCGCATGCAAGTGTTCCCCGTGCTGCTACCTGGTAACATGAGGGTTTTTTTGACCTTGGAAGATCCCAGGATAAAAAAAAAAAAAAAACCAAAACAAACAAAACTATGCTGAAGAAAAGTGGGGCAGTGCACATGGCAGCAGTGCGCACCAGCTGAAAAGAGCCTGACCGGTTGGAGCCATGCAAGGCTTCCTACCACAGCTGCAGCCCTAAGACCCCAAGTAAGGCTAGCATAGTTGCTGGTCCCAGCCTCCCCTACCCCACCTGGGGTAACCTGCTGAGCACTACAGCACCTGTGGAACGAACATTGCCTGGGGACAAGTAGCAGTGGCACAAGATATGCTGCTGCTACTTTCCCCAGGGAAACAAACATTAGTGCTGGACACAGCCCCAGGTTTATCTTGTGAATCATGTTGCTAACAGTACTAACATTATGTGGTACCCCGCAGCACCCTAAAAGGTTCTCAAGGCACCCCAGGGTGCTGTGACACTCTGGTTGGGATTCCCTGTCCTAGACCTTACAATAAGAGGGCTTCATGGTATTTAAACTACCAAAAAGCTAATTGCAAAAGAAAGATCACTGGTATCGAGCCGGTCACAAGCAGGCTTGTTGACTAAGGCTTTTTTGCAACAACTTTGAAGAGTTAATAATTTAATAAAAATCACAGTCTAATGGTGGAGAATTCACAAAGAAGAAAAAGTAGCATTCTGCTAAATGAATGGGTTTTTTTACAAATTATTTAACTAGCTATTTTAAATAAATTGCAAAAGCTACCCCATCTAGAATAATGCTGCTGCTTTGTTTTTTCCTAAAACAGACACGCAGAACAAGTGTTGGAACACTGGCTGGCTTAAGATACTTACTTTAAAATCCAGGGTCCACAAGAATTTACACATGGAAAGGAAAGCAGGTCTGGAAAGCCTTTTTTTATTATAGAATTTGAAAAATCATAGGAAACTAGGGCTGGGTGGGAACTCAAAGTAATCTATTGTAGTCCAATCTCTGCTCAAGACAGGATCATCCCTGTCCAGGGACAGATCCAGAGGGGGTGCAGTGGTGTAGTCACACCCCCTTTCCGACCATCCTGCTACCTATCCTACTTTGTAGTGTGGAAGAAATATGTTTTCCTTCTTGTGGCAAACTTTCTTATTAGAAGAAGAAAACAATTATTAAAAAATAATGATTTACTAAAAACATTAATATGACAATTCATAACATTATAATTGTTTGTCACCTCACAAAGTCAATGCAAATAGAAACTTTAAAAGTTATATTTCATATTCAAGGCTAATTATCTAGTAAATATCTTGGAGTTAAATAATATGTGGTTTGTTTGGGGGTTGTTTTTTTTTTTTTTTGTTTGGTTTTTTTTTTGGTTTTTATTTATTTATTTATTTATTTTACTGTTAATCTTATCCCTTATTTGAAAATTTACTTTAAAATAAAACTTGTTGCACTTGGGAAATCAGTGGCCATAACAGAGATTTCACAGTTTTTTCTGATGAAGATGTTCAATGTATGTAATGCTTAATATCAGTATTGATCTTGTTTCATGTGCTTATTGTAATAGATTTGTTTGTATGTAGAGAGAAAATATAAATGTTCTGACTGTATTCCCATACTTCTCTCTCCTGGCTTAATTGCAAAGGGGAAGAAAAGAGCATAAAATTCTGCTCAGTCAGAACAGCATTCTTTAAATATTCAGAATAGCATGTGTATAGTCTGATAAACCAGTATGTGTTATAGGGGCATCAGACCTGTTTTTGAACAGTGAAAACAGAACACTGTGGGTGATGGAAAGAAGAAATCTTTACTGTTGGGATGGTGTAAAACTCAGGGATTTGATAGTTTGGTTCCTGCAGGTTAGTTAGTGATGTTTACTGTGCATTAGCCTAATAACACTGTGCAGTAAGCTATTGTCACAGTTTTTGCAGTGACATACATGAGATGCTTACTGCTCATTAGTGTAGGTGCCCAATGAGTAGAAATGATGTCTAAAATTTGCTTTGTCCAAAAACTATCAGACAAAGTATCATAATAATACATGAGCTAACAAGAGTGTATTTTAACACTTGATAAGAAGAAAATACTTATTCAGCTAAAATATATATATAATTTTTTTTCAGCTCACTCATCCTCCATATAATTCAACTCGCAGATACTGCTTCTTGAGTAAAATCAGAATGACGGGAAAATGTTAAGGCTTTTCATTAATCAGCTCACAAAACGAACCCCCTTCACCTTTCATAGACAAATGCTTGAATCAGTATTCTTGCATATAATTATAATTTCTCTGCATTTATATAATTCACTCCAGACCCTTCCAGTCCTTTTGGGCCACATCTGATGAAGGAAAACATTAAAGTGATTTATACTGAAGAGCGCTCCTGGAACTTCATATCTGTGGGTGCAGAGCATAGAAGAAAGAGCACTTGATTCAGATGGGGGGCAGGGTGAGACCAGTTCAGGCATCTTGTTAGGTCTCGAGAGGCATGAGGTGGAGGCTTATTTTTTGTCTCATGTTGAAGACAACCCCAACTGAGTAAGCAGCATGAAAAATGGTAACTTGGTCATCTGTGCTGGAGAGTCAAAGGAAGCTGGACATAGTGGTAACCACAACACTCCTTTGTGGAGTTATTGGCATGCTTTTAACCAAGCTATCCTGAAGACTTCTACCTTCTTTCAAACATTTGAATTAGAGGTTGGTAAATACCACAAAAACCCATCCAGACAATGCATGCAGATTTTTACTTTAATGTAAATAATATTTAATTACACTTCAATGCTCTTGTGTGAATTTGCTTCACTCATTTATGTCCCACTTGGCTTACTATCCATAAAGGCTTCAGAGGGTTTATTTCAACATAGTGAATGCTCACAGAAAACAAACTGAAATGTGCATGCTTGTGTATTCATGGTGGAATAGGTGGTATGGACCGTTGGCACTAGCTCCCTGTTCCTTTTGGCCATCCTGGCAACATAAAGAGGATATAGAGAATTCCCCTCACATGGCCTCTGGGGATAATAGATGACATAGCATTGGCAAGTTCTGGCTACACTTGTGTAATAGGCATGACAAAGCCCCAACAGATAGGATTGTCTGCAATCCTGCAACCCTGAAATTTTTAACTTGTGCCAAGAGCCAAAAATGTTTCACAACTGCCCTCAATCTGCTATGATCACTCTTCCAAAGGAGTTCTAGCATACCAGAGGGTTTAGTATGGTATATTTTATATGGCATGGGTCAGTGCTTGATGCAGCAGGAAGAGAGGGTTCTTATAACCTCCCATCAGAGTTTTGTCAGAAAGACAACGAAGTATACTGATAAGAACTGGTATGCAACTCTGGAAATCAAATTACACACGGACATCCTCACTCATACATACATACTTAGTGATAATGGGAGAAGGATTAAAAGTAACAAACATTCTTCATCCTGCTAAAATATTTCACCGTGGGCCCATCTATACATGTAATTAATGTGACTGAATATACTCTGGCTCAATTTGGATCGAAGTAAACTAATCCCAGTGTCACTATTCAGATGTGTGTTTAAGTGTAGTAATTTACTGTGGCATAGGATGGTACCTGTGTCTTGACAGAACTATCCTATGCTGCAGTAAATTACTCTACTACACACTAATTGCAGTACACATGTAGATGGTGATGCTTTATTACACATTAAATTAGTTGAATGCGTAGTAAGGCGTGTGCTTCTTCTAAGAAAGATGCCTTTGTATCTCAGAAATGGAATAGAATACAATTTTTTTTTTTTTCTAAAATTCTCTAGTCTCCTGTTCTCTGTGAGCTAATCTTTGACTCTCCTGCTATGTCTCTTATCTCACCCTGAGAAATTCGAAGTGCAAAGTGCCAGTAGCCTTTTCAAACCCTTCTCCTGATTATCAAAGTTTAATTGATCAAATCAGAAAACAAAAATTACACTATGTAACAGGTATGAGCAATTACAAGTAACCAATACAACACTTAGGCCATGCACAGACATTCAAGGAGCCTGAGGAGGAAATGATCTAAGTTATGCAGTTTTCTCTAAACAGTTTAGTTTAAACAGGGGGTGAACAATCTACACATTTACCCTTTGGTGGGTCTGCACTGGTTGAGGCCTGCAGGTGAGGGGCACTCCTGCATGCCTCCCAGCATGCCCGGTGGACTCCCCTAGTTGCTGAGAACTGCCAAGCACAGCCAAATACCCAAGGAACACCCGATTGGCTGTTGGGCCTGGGCAAGCATGTCCCAAAACCTATCACATCATGGATTCTCCCCTACCCTGCTCTGAGGCTTCCAGAAGAGCCCAAGAGTAAGTGCCCTCCATTGTGAATTGCATGTGCCTCCGTGTCCTGGCCTTCCCACATCCTGCCATGGGACCCCACTGCCTGTGCCCAGGCATGAAGACCTGTGGCCTGGCCTGGGTTACCCTGGGTGACTCTCTCCAGAACCTGCAGGACTTCATGCATACCCATCTGGCATGAAGTGGCAGCTGGTCACCATAGGATGCAGCTTTATGCCCCTGAATCAGCAACCAGATGTCCTACACTGCACCACCAACTTCCATGGGACCAATGAAAATGAGGCCACCCAGGACACTATGGATGATGGGATGCTTTGGCACCACCTCCAGACCATTGAATGCCAGTTCTGGGCCCATGCCACCAGCTGCACCTGGTGGGGGTGGATTGTCCTGGACACCTGGGACAACGAACAGTATGTCTAGACCTTCCACAGATGCTGGGCCACCTTTTATGGACATCATCACCCAGTTGGCCCCCCACATCATGTGCCTGGATGCCATCATATGGCCACCTTTCACTCCAGAGAAGTGGGTTGCCACTGCCATCATGAAGCTGTCTACCCTTAGCATTCTCCACTACATTGCCAATCAGTTCAGCATGGGCAAGTCCACAGTCAGAGAAGTTATCCAGCAAGTGTGCCTGGTCAACCAGAATGTCTTGGCCAACCATTTTATCTGCCTCATCAACCTGCAGAAGGTAGTCATTGGCTTCTGCTGCATGGGGTTCTCCAGCTGAATGGGAACCATAGATGGCACCCACATCCCTATCCTCTGCCCACCCCAGGGCACCTGGGCATTCATCAACCCCATGGACTACTTCTCCATTGTCTTCCAGGGTGTTGTTGACCACCAGGGCCACTTCACTCACATTTCTGCCGGCTGGATGGGCAGTGCCCATAATGCTTGCATCTTCTCCAACTCCCCATTCCCCAAGATGATGGGGAGTGGCGCTGTGCTCCAGGGGTCCCCAACTTCATCATCAGCACTGTTGTCATCCCTCACCTCAATGTCAGGGACCTGGATTACCCTCTCTTGCACTTGCTTGTGAAGCCCTACATGGGGCAGCTGGACCACCAAAAAGAACACTTCAATTACTGCCTGAGCAGGTGCTGCATGATGGTGGAGTGCACCTTCAGCTGCCTCAAAGCACACGGGCAGGCTCTCAGCACATGCCTTGAGGTTGAGGAGAACCTACCATGCATTGTCATTGCCACATGTGTCCCCCACAACATCTATGAGAGCAGGGGGGAGGTCTTTCATGAAGCCTGGACAGAGGAGGCATGGCACATAGGTGAGGCATGGCAATTCATGCATGCATGGCACAGGAATGCTGGACAGTGAGCCCCCCAATGATCTTGGAGGCACAGCAGCAGGGAGTCTGTAACAGGGTAAGGGAGAAAGGGAAGGGTACAGGTTGTTCCCTTCTAGGGCAAAGGGTGGACTGGTCCATCCTCTATCTGGCCCCAGTGGACAGTGGGGGATTGGCCCCAATGACAGTACAGGGAAAAGCCCTATGTGGGACACTGGGGAAGCCCAGGAGTTCCAGATCCACTAAGGGCTCTCCCCAGCTAGCAGGCTCCCCTTCACTTGCAGGAGCTAGAAATACAGCCTCTCTGGAAGTACCCAGCCCTGGCCAGCTGGAGCACCATGGAGGCAGCTACAGGAGTGGGACAAGAGGAAGAATGAGGAACAAGAAACTGAGGACCGAGCACCAAGGATTGGTGAGGGGCAGTGATTCTGCCTGCATTTTTGTTTATTTTTTTTTTCAATGGACTCTTAGAGGTACTGAGTGGGAAGACCAGGATTTATTATGTAAGAAAGCAGTCTGACTCCAGCCCAGAGTTCGAGTGCAGTTTGAAGTTCTTCCAGTGTGACTTGGTGCCCAAGGACTGACTGGCGGGCTTTAAACTAGGCTTGCCGGGGGGAGGGGAAGATGAGGGCGGGGGAAGCTGTGGACCACCAAACCATGTGGCACCCACAAGGACAGCCAAGCCTGAAGAAAGAGAACATTGGGAACCTGCAAGAT